ACTAATCTACCACTCACCTTTTCTCTTCATCATCTTCTTCTCCCTTGCATAGGTCTCCCTCTCAGATTCAGCTATTGCTGTTAGCCGTCCCCTCCTACTCCTGCCCAAGGCATCTTTTGCCATGGCCTTGACTTCATTCTTGATGACGTCACTATATCATTTCTTTAAGGCTTCTCGAGGTCGTTACCTCTGTTTCAGAGTTCCAGTGCTTTCTTTATCAGGTCTTTATCAGGCGGTCTTCAAACTTTCTGAGCACGTGTCCACGCCATCGCAGCACGTGTCCACGCCACTGCTGTCGTGCACTGGGGCTGTTTGCGTCACCTCTCTCACGTCCTCGTTCCTACCTACAATCAGTATACATCATTGTGAGAGGGGGTCGTATGGTCGCTGGGGGAGAAGGATCGTATTTGGCCGTAAAGAGTTTTTTATAGTTGGTTTTTCTTGTTCCATGGACGCTGTAAAGGGGGTAAATGGCGGGGAGGGGGGTGGGAAGGGGCGGTGGTATTCGCTCGTTATTGAGAGACGGGGAGGTCGTATCCACCCTCACGGTTTCTCTCCCTCTCCCCGCTCGACAGCCCGATCGTACCAAAGGGTGGGGAGGGGGTCGTATCAAGCCACCTTTTAGAAGGGGATCGTACGGACTTGACCAAAATATGTGCCCTGCTCACAGTCCTCTCCAACCAGAGCTCCATATTAGCATCCTCATCTCAGCGGATTGTAGCTGGTTCCCATGATTCTTGCAATGGGCTAACACTCGCAGGGCATACCATTGTACACCTTACTTTTGAAATTTCACCCGTATGTCATTATTAAACTTTAACAAGATTCTATGGGCATGTAGAGGCTGACCATTCCATCCCCAAGAGACATAAAAGGGGGTCGTATCCAGCCGCTAAAGAAAGGGGGGGACTTATTTTTTCTGTGAGCAAACTTTCCAATTGTTGATTTTTTCCGTGTCACGCGATATGTATGCCCTTTATGAGTAGCTCACATTTTGCAAAAATTCTATTCGAAAAAACCGATTTTTTTATCGTCTGAAAAGCTTGTGGGCATCACCCCTGATGACATTCAAACGTAAGCCTCATGAGACAAACAATGACTGCTCCTTGTTCTTAATGTCACGTTTTAGGGCTGTCGTATCCCCAGTCCTTTATTTGACTGTTCGTGTCGTTATCAGCCGCACGTCGTTGTAATGATTAGCAGCCCTTACCCAACGCGTCATAAAAATCTCGCCCTTTTCAGTTAACGAGTACTTGCCACATTGGAAACGGTTCACGAAAGTGACACAAGTGCAGACACACAAATGATGGCAGAAGGAGCACTTCTGTATAGAGAAATTCGAGTTCCGGTTGCATCGAATGACACATTCTGTTTGATGTCCAGCATACAGCACCTAATTACTGAAGACTATGTCTGGGCTATGGTCCCTATCGTCCTATGGATGGCAGCTGTGAGTTTAAAAACCTTGAAATTACAACAAAAAATGCCTGAAATAGTTGCTTTCATGCCTTACAGTGCACATATGTGGGTAGTGGATCAGCTGTCCCATCAGTTAGGAAAAACCACTAGGTGCCGATCAAGTGCCCTTAATGAGATCCTCCATTTTCCAGCTGATTTTGGTCAGTGTGCTAGCGCACACCGAAGAAATACCGAGTGCTCGGAGAGAGTCCAGACGAACAGGGAGTACAAAGACGAGCAACACCGCCAAGCTACGTGCAGCATTGCGATGGGCGTCTCATAAGGGGGCATGGACACGGATAAACCACAAGCCCCCTGGCGTGCTTACAGCATACAGTTGCACCGGTCTAGCTCACACGCCCGCAAAATAATTCGGCCCAACCAATTATGGACTAAGTTTGTAAACACCCTCAATTTATGCAATTAATAACGGCGCTGCTAGTATGTGGGTTCTCTTTCAGGTAATCTATGGTACGTTCAACGTCGCCTCCGCGTTCTCATCACTGAGTCTTCGACGTTCCTTCAAGGAATTGACGATGGAACGCCATTCACAACTGGATGTCTTGGACGTATTTCGAGTAGTTGCTATCATCTGGGTGATAGTTAATCACACTGGAAGCGAAGGACGAATCGATATACTCGATCGATTACCGTCAGCTGAGAAGTTCAAGGTGAGCGCTCGATTTATTTCGCCGGAATAAGCAAGGGTTGAATTCCATGTGACGTGCCTTGGATTGTTGACAACTTTCACCATACATACCATTTCCTCCGGAAAACTCGTCCAGATGGGCGGGACCCTACGGCTTACGACAGAGCGACAACTCGTCTACAAAGCCACCCCACCAAAGGATTAGTTCTGTACTTACGGTAAGAAGTAAATCGGGATATTATCCCTTTTGCTACATGTACTGCTCTGTTGTTACAGAGCAGTACATGGGCGATAATGTCCCGATTTGGGTCTTACGTAGTACCAGACTCTACGGAAATATGCTCGCTCCGTCAGATAAGACGCTTTCTTAGGGGGATAACTGCGGCCGCCCCGGTAAATCTTATTCTCGGTTCATGCGGGGCGCAGCTTGATTAGCGGCGTCGTCAAGCGGCCGCCAGCCGCCGTGCGAGGAACTATGTGCTTTTTCCAGGCTAATTTAGTGATGTTTTTCCAACATATTCAGTGCGGGTGTTCTTTGGCTACTTTTTCCAAGATTAGCAGCTCCTTATCTTCACAAGGTGGAAAAATGACTAAATTAGCCTGGAAAAAGCAAATAGTTCCTGGCACGCGCTGCGGCCCGTGACGACCGCCCTAATCAACTCAGACTGCCCCGGGAGACGGTAGGATAAGTGCGACACGGCGTGAAGCGTACAAAGAAAGATTTCTACGAAACCACTTCTTGAACCACTGCCGTGCTGATTGAGGAACACTGTCAGCTTGGCACGAAGGTGAACGACAGACACACCAGTACCTGCTCTAAGGCTAGCGCGGGTTTTTACAACGAAGAACTGCAGGGCCAAACCACCACCCACCCCCCTTTGATTTTCTGAACGACATATTATCCGCTAGCAATCCAGCTATTTTGAAGTCCCTCTTTTCGATTCTGTGCAACAATAAGCCCATGTTCGGTGCACCTGACTGCGGCAACTCGGCGTCCTGGGCTGTCCGAGACTCGCTTCCTGTGCCCTTCTCCGGACTGTTATGTGCCCACCGACACCATGTTGAGGGAAGAGCCGATCAGCCCATTTGGCCGGCACTACAGGACATATCCTTCATCCGTGCGCGAATTACTTCGACTGGTCCCACTCCGATGCAGTACTTCTATTCTTCATCTACATAGCGGCTGGTCCTATCACGAAGCGTTTTTTGCCAAGGTGAGCAACTTGGCGAATTTAGTGCCAATGATGCGATTGCGGGTGCAAAGCTGCAGCGTTGCTCTCGTATCAGTGTAATTGCAAGCAATGCAGTTTGACGATCATGATGATATACTGACCCACATCGCAGCCGCACGCATCTGAAGTCCGCGAATCCCTCGACTTATATACTCAGGACGATAAACTTGAACGCCGTGCACACGTACTTGGGATGTGGAAAACGAGTGAAAATTTCGGCCCCAGATCTTCCATAGCTCGCCCTATAACTCACCTAACTCGCTCCGTATCATGCCTTGTTGCAAGGTTCAAGTTGCCACTTTCTCGCTGAAAAAAACTAGCAGCCTAATTTTAGCAACAGGGCAGGATACGCGACGAGATAGGTAAAACTAGGACGAGGTAGAGAGGATCTATGGCCGGAAACTTGACTCTTTTTCCTCCTTTCCCAAATACGTAAGCCTTGTGTTCGACTTTTTCTCATTGACAGACGTCAATGCCATTTAAATCCACCATTTTCCAGATTCCATTCGACTATGATCTCTGCATGTGGCGTGTCGGGTATCGCTGCACACCTTACGCTTCTGGGTAACTGGCAATCTACGCCCACATGCCTGGGCTATTTATGGTATCTCGGACTGGATATGCAACTTCACATAATGGCCCCATTCCTCCTGCACGCCCTCTACAAACGACCTGCTGTGGGAAAGTTGCTTTGCGTGCTATTAATCGTCACGTCAATGTTCATCCGAGCCGGTTACTGCAGTGCCTATGAGGTCTGCCACAAGAGTGACGTCGACATACCGGTGAGTACACTTTGAAGCCAGCAAGCTGCAGCACGTCGCTGCAGTTTTCTGGACATTTCACAGTACTTCCAAGCCATGTTCCGAAACACTTCATAATTTCAGTTCATCTCGTATCCTGGACAGGATCCGGCAACACTGGCCAGCATCTATGGCGGCTTGTGGGAAATGTACGCTCGTCCGTGCACAAAGTGTGGCCCGTTCATACTCGGATTGCTGCTAGGGACCGCCTCCACAAGCTTAAGACCCTCTCTGGACCGTCATAGATCACGCTACTTCGCCAGCACATTTTTCGCACTCTGTGTAGCTGTGATCTATGCCATTTTACCGCAGTACTGGTTCGGGGATCATCTGGAACGCTACAATCTCTACTATACTGCAACATTCCGAACCATTTTCGCTATTGGCGTCTGTGGAATGATATGGGCGTTCATTTCACGGTTAGAAAGGTAGGTTATAACCAGCTTTTTTAATGCTGAGCAGGATTCCAGACATTCTCATACAAAAAGAATTCAAATCGAAAATTCGTTTCTGTCGTGCCATCACATGGGCCGTTAGATCTGGCATTGCACTCCCAAGAAATTCCAAGAAGTCAACATCAAGTTGATTCACAGGTAGTTTGCTGCAGCGAAAAGGCCCACCCTCCTCGGCCCACCTCACGCTCTTGCGCAACTGGCAGTCCACACCCACTTGCCCGAGCTGTTTGTGATATCTCGAATTGGACATGACTCTATGGAAAGCGGATGGGCGGAGACTTTCAACCGCCATGCCCTTCTACCTTGCGCCCTCCTAAAGATGCGTTCCGGGACCGTACTCCGGTAACCAATAGAGTCCATCAGTGTTCCGAACGTCCGGCAGCGTCAGCGACTAAGAAAGTATAGGTATCCCTAGTGGATACCGGTCATCTGAGATTCCTTGGTGTAACCCTCTGGGCCTGTAGGCAGTGCAGTCGTGCTCAAATCTTCGCCTATCTGTCCCTTTCACGTCCCGTTAATTTTCTAAACTCCGAAGTCCAGAGATTCGAAGATGAGCCCGGCAGCCCCCAGAATCGCAAGTCAGGAGTCGGCCAAGGCCACTTTTTAAAATAATCAAAGCTTGTGCCGATTTTTGTACATCTTCAACTTTCGGAAATAAAGAGCCGAGATTCGGAACTCTTCTCAGCATTCTTGATCCTTTTTCATGAATCTTATCACTTAAGCGTTCTTTCCAGAAAATCTACCTCATATATATGGTCGATATTGGCTCGACTCACTTACAACACCTACCTCCTTCATATGCCTGTCATCTACCTCTTCAACTATTCTCAATATCTCCAGCAAGCTCAAGGGGCCACCGAATTGATTGTAGTCGTTCCTTTCGTGGCTTTATTAAGCTTTGCTGCTTCGTCAGTGTTCTACTTCTTTGTTGAGGCCCCAATAGGATATGTGACTTCCAACTGTTTGGAGCAAATAGACGGCGCTTTAATGTATTACTTCATTAGGTTCAAAAACGCTTTGAAATCCTCTCTCCTTCGATTATCCTCCTGAATCGGTTTTGTTTCTGCTGATGCTGTTGATTGTTGTACAAATTGGTCAACAGGAATTCATCTGCCGCCTGTGTCTGCTAGTCAGCCATTCCTGCTGCGATCGCTAAGCGATGCGCGCGGCCGTGACGCGGCTGCAGGTCCTTTATTATATGTATGTACATAAGTAGATTTATGCTTGCATTATATTCCTATTCATTGAATTCTATCATCGATTACTTCAATCATGTCACTTTACGGTTATATGTTACAAACGAAAAATAAATTATTATTATATGGCATGTTAAATAAAAAACAATTAAAAAGCCTGATGTGCGGTATTTCCGTGAATATGAGACTTTTGAAAACAAAACAAACAAGAGAGAAATTAAGCGCTAACTTACAGTCTGGTTATGCGGATGATGGCGTGTCCGCGCAACTGGACACGCCGCCAGATCCATTCTGCGAAAGTTTCTAAGGCGGCTATGTGCCAACAGCTGCTGAAAAACGTCGTCACGGACGATACGTACCTTACTTTCGCTTTGCGAACGGGAAAACAAACTCCTGACAGTGGGCGCTCAAAGCCGCACGGACACCTCCCACACAAGCAGCAGCAGAACAGACTACACTTGGGGCGGAGCCCACTCAACAGTCCACAGGGGAGACGAACAAGAGAATCGTAATTTGCCGCTCCGCCGCAACGGGCGCGGCTTCTTCAACCCGTGTTAACTCTGTCGAAGTGCAGCCATCGGATTCGATGCACCACTCCCGTCATCGGTAGAATTCATGACCATCTTTGGTTCTTGAATTGCTGTTGTCGTCACCTGCTACCTGCAAGCTCTAGAGTGGGGTAGGGAGACAAAGGCAATCGTAATATGTCGCGCTGGCGAGCGACGCTGCTCCCAACGGACGAATTGTCCTGTTCGGTCATTTGAAGGTGATTGTTAAGGGATGGGAAAAGTCTATATCACCCTCCATGAATTCTTGCGTTCGGTTGAGTTTTGCTGCTCCAGTTGGCAAACCGATCCACATCAAGAACGTGCCGCCGCGCGTCGCCGCACACGATGGCACGACAAGTCCCGATTGTATTGTCCGTCTCCCCGATAATAATATCTCTTTTCAACTGACACCTCACAAAATCGTGATATTCATGATATCGTTCCCAACTAGGATAAACTTCACGTTCTACGAGTGGTAACCTTCCGAAGAAATCAGAGGAGACTTATATGCGACGTTATATCAGCGTTGTTGGGTCTAGAGGGGGCACTTACCCTCAACTTCAAGAGGTCACCCTGATAACCCTTCCCTTGCTAGGTGTTATAAAAACTCTAGCTGCAGATTGTGCAAACGACTCTGCCGTCTGCGCTCTAGCTCTATACAGGGTCAACTAGCCCTTGGCTGTTGTCCCGAAAACCCTCGGTCGTCCTCGAAAACTGCAAAACATGCCTCAGCTGGTCTCAGCTGCTTTCTCTACATTTCTAGGTGAACCACCAAGCTCAAAACCCTTCATATTTAGCATTTTCTTGTTTACTCTTTCCAGGCAACTTAGAATGTATCTGCGGAGAGGAGGACATCCGTACAGAAGCCGTCTTCACCCATGTTTCACAAATTCTACCCGTGCGCGTACACTGTGGAACGAACAACTGAACAGTTGATGAGTTCTACGACTTAAATGGTGATGATAACCGTCGAGTAAAGGACATCGCATCGGCGCTGTCCCGCTTGGAGGGCAGTCTGTACGTTCGCCTTATCCTTTTGTTGATTCTGTTTAACAAACAAGTCTTGCTTTGGTCAGACCTGTAAACTCTGAGGTATTGTTCTAGTGAGTTACACTGGTTATGCGATTTGACAGGTTTTCCCAAGACTGCCTCTACAATCTTAGTTAACTACCATGCAGCGCCCCCATCAAGCCGAACTGCGCCCGCTACTCCTACCTTATGGCTAGCAGAAGATACCAGAATATTCTCTTAGTAGGAATCCAGAGCACGACCCAGCCGGTGGGGAAAATTTTCGGGAAATACGAACCCAATTCCTCCGCTATGATTTCCCTTTCCCCATCCTCCACTTTTTCTCAGCACCCTACCGAGTTCTCCAAAACTTCAAATCAATAAACAAGCATTTTACATCTTCCCCAACAATTCTGCCGTCGAGCGGGGGGACGCATAGTAGCAGTGAAACGAAAGCAAAAAGTCAACGATCACAATTTTTTACAATGCAGCGAACTTCCCTCGAAGGTAACTACGACTTCCTCCGCCAGCAAACGAATGCGACCTCCGCGTTGAAGATTTCCCAACGTGAGACGTGCCCTGTTGCCACCCACGTGACACCACTTACAGCTCTACACCTCCCGCTGCAAGTGGGAAATGCGGAACAGCAGTGCAAACTCAGGAGGAAGGAAAAGGGGGGGGGGGACAGGTGAGCGAGACTAGGCCACCCTCATCGTTGCTTCAGCGCGCTCCCTGAGGCTAGGTCTGGTGCACAACGACCATCAAGTAAGCAAAGTCTCGGGTGGGAGGACGCAGACGTCGCGAGGTTGTTTGACTGCCAGTTCCCCCCCCCCTACGTATGTATCAGGATATATGTCAACCCCGAAGCCTCGTTCCTTCTTCTTCCTCTCTTCTCCTTATTCTCCTCCCTTCATATACCTCGACAATCAACGAAAAAGTGTCTCTGGATTTTCCGAGTGAGGGAACACCAAGTTGACAATTGCCCTCTAACCACCTCCCCCTACACTAGCGCTTTCAAAGCTATTGAACAACGTCAACGATTAGTGAATCATCAACGATATGCCGGAACTGATGTACAGTCACCGTATTTTATAAGAGACACGATTCAAAAATCCTTCATTGAAAGCGAAAAATAATACCACCGCCAATAAAATGGCAGATTTGCAAACGTAACATGAGCATGCACTCGTAGATATGATACATGTTAAGGTTCTCATCCTTACTCTTACAATATGTGACAGCTAAATGCGAAGTCACACCACAGCCACCTTTATTTCCATTGAGAATCAAATTAAGCGCTTCGCAACCGCGCGCTTAACTGTCACATATTGCTCTAGGTCCATAGTTACCAATGTTAGCCTGTAGAGGTTCAACGTGACATCGATTGAATATGATAGGCTCCTCCGTTAACACAAGAGATAGCGTAAACCGATTCGTTTTTCCACATGGAGACCACCTAGAAATACTAAACATCGGGCAGCTTAATTTGAAATTGCAGTCCGGCGACTGGGGAGGGAAGGAGGGGTGCGGGGATATTGCACTTTTGTTGCTTCTCGTCGACCGGTTGAATCATCTAGATTGCCATTATGTGAGCTTACAAGAGCTAACGACGAGGGCAGCTCGACGAGCTTGCTCCAGCTTCACAAGAGTCACAGGTTTCACCAGTGTGAGACTTGTAAACCGGAGCTAGTGAAGCAGCGAAAGTGCAAAATGCTCCGCGACGCCAAACTGCGCCGAAAAACTAACACTTCAACCTCCTCACAATAACGTAGCTGAAAATCCACATGCATTCAATTATTGATCCCTATTTGACAAACCTCATCGGACATCTGAACCTTAATGCCTGCAGGTCCCACATAAAACATGCGAGTTCTTTCACTTCTCCGGATAGCGTTACAATTTTTCAACGCAGGCGGTATAACTCCGTCCTGAGAAATAATAGCTAAGAAAAACAAATAGTAGTGATATTACCCGCTCTATTTTCTTAAGTATAATTCGCATTTATTTGCAAAGTTGCACAAGCCCACGCGACAACGCGTGCAGGAACGTTTCTACAGCCTTCTTCGCTGCGGATGAATGGGCACGTGTCAGAAGGGCTAGGTTTGGCGCGGTGCCAGCTCGTATTCTACGAGTCGTTGTCGCTTACACGCCTCGATAACTTGAAGGAGCAGGCAGCGCGGCAAACTCCAACCTCACTGACACGCCACTTCCCAGCGCATTATTGTGGTCCTTCGAATGGTTTCCGAAATATTCCGATAAATATTATTTTCCGATTATTTCATCGAGATTAATCAATGAAAGTAAACAAACTATTGATAGAACCATTGACAGTCAAAACTAAATGCTATAAAAACCTAAATGAGAAACTAGTTCGGCAAGTCTGGCTGAGCTAGGATGGGGATTTCACACTTTCGCTACTATCCATTTTCGTGTCTTCTGCTTCACAAGAGTTGACAGATCTTCTTTACGGGAGCTACTTCTATGAAGCAGTGAACCCAACGATGAAAAGTAGCAAAAGTGCGAAATGCCACTCCAAGCCGACCTGCGCCCGAGTCTCTCGTGACACTATTCCTGTTTCCGAATATGGAACCAACGAACGCGTTTTTCCATTTTTCAAGCATTGACGGCGCCTGAGACGATGGTGTGACTTATTCACGGGTACGCCTTTTACCCCAGAAAATAGAGTATATTGACTCTGAACAGAGGAACTCACCTTCGTTTTCCTTGGGAGATGAATCATTTTGTAGACGAGGTCTCCACCGAAATGAGTCAATTCTGCGACATAGATATTCAACTCTCCAGAAGTTTCGATTTGTTTGCTCGGTTCTCGGTTTGCACTCTCCCTTCTGCAACACGCTTCAAAACAATAATCAGTAGTTATCTACTATTCCCAATATAGACTTCCCGCGGCTCAAATACTAAATATCTATATGAGTTGTAGATTGGGAATAACACATAAGTGAAGAAATTGCCGAAAAACCCACATCTGTAATGCCGATATAGAACCCCATGCTATAACGCGCCTTGCTACATGGCATAAGCAAGACAGGACGTGGTCGACGAGGAGCTCGCTTGTTCTTGACGGCTCTCCCTCCCCCCCCCCGCCTAATCACGGCAGGTTCACTATAGAAATGAAACCAGTCGGGGGCAGAAAACGCAAGCATGTGAAGCCTTGCGCTGCCATGCCGGAGCATGGTGGTCTTCGTCGAAAGCGACTGTCTTCGCTTACCAGCATTTTTGACGGTGGAAAGTAACAACCATAACAGAAGCTAGACTTCATCTATCAAAGTATCCGCAGGATAACGGCCTTGTCGTCCAGACAGTTTTCGCGCCGAACGGATTGTGATGTACGTATGCAAGCGGCCCAAACTAATGAATATCGATAAGAAATTTAGTCCAATTTTACAAAAGGGTTCGCAAAAGGTGAATGTCTTTCTCAGTGAGATCATAAACTTACCTAGCCTTCAATGTAGAATAAATGCAATAGGCATGGGTCTTCTCCAAACCCATTGAGATAAGTTCATCAGGTGTTAGAATACCCAAGCCGTGCAGGGTGAAACTGTAAAGACAAACACTATGTCTGACATAATTTTGCATTTTACATTTTGCATTACTCTCTATTCATTGTAATTCAATCCATGTATAAGTGTAAAAGGATAATGTATAGAGTATCTACGGTGTAATACAAACAAAATGAACATGGTTGTGCAACACTTCGGCAGGGCTGCGTTCATACTTTGCGGCAGCGTCCACCTGAGTTACTCTACTCTCCTCTAGCTCACGCTGCTGTATCGCTAGCATCCCTCGTGGACTCCTCAGGCGTTCGCTTGTTCGACACCTATACTTCCCTCGTGTCTCGAGACGCGGGTGGACGCTAGCGGACGCTGCCGCAAGGTATAATCGTAGCCTCAAGCAGGGCACGCCATTGCGTTGTGATCATTTCCTGAAAAATACGACCCCCCCCCCTATATCCATCTTCAAGTACGACCCCCCTCCGGGGGGGGGGGGAGGTCGCAGTACCACGTACGTCCCAAGCACGTCCAGCACTCTGGCGCTGGTGTAGCATACTGACAATACGTACGAGGAAGGGACGATGATAGGAGCTACAATCACCGCCCACAAGGGCACCATGAATTTATAATTAACAAAAAAGGACTCTAGCGATGTTGACGATAGTAAGACGAAGAAAAGCACATTCCCCGGACTTTTCTGATCGTAGGAGCACATTTGCTTGCAATTGGGAAGCGCTATCTAGAAGTTACACCTTCCAAACACCTGCGTGAAAGCCCCATGCATGGCGCATTGCAGAGGTGATGCCAATTGGCGCCCAATGGCCTATTCCTGAATAGCCTTTGCGAAAACATGTCTCTTAGAAGCATACCAAAGTCATCAAGCCAACCGGAGGTTTCATGGCCTCGGAGGGGTTGATTTTTCGGTGTCGTGGGGGGTGATTACAATATGATCACAACGGGGAATTTTTTCGAATAGTAGGTCTAGGAAGGAAATTAAAACCTTGCTGGAAATAGAAATCTCTTCGAGCTTCTGGCACAGTTCTTTTTTTACGAAAGGTCGTGTATGAAGCTTGCCATGGACGTCCAAAGCGTAGCGACTCGCGGTTCGCAAAAATGATCACAGATGGATCACAAAGATGATCACAACGGGGAAAATCTCTGGAATCGGAACGTTTTTGAAATCGCTCAATTCAGGTGACAAGAGCCAACCTAGCTCTACTCATTCCCACTTACCCCTCTCCGATAGCTTCACTTTCAACGAAGTTATGGGTGTTCAAATGAGGGGTACTTTTCACGTGTTTGGCTTGAAATTGGCTCCAGGCCGTAAAATAGCGCGCACCAATGAGCTTGTATGAGCGCGCTGACCGCGAACAGCCAAAATTCAAAAGTAATCCATAGTTCCGGTTCCCAGCTGGCCTGGTGAGTTTTTTTCTTATCTTATTCTTTTTCTTATTTGATTGTGAGTTATTTTGATTGTTTGTTTTGTGGAGTTTGGTTTTGTTTTGTTGCGTTTGATTTTGTTGTGAGGAAATTGCTCAAGATTCAATTTCTACGCTTTCATAGGTAGCTTTTGCAATAGATTCTTCTAGTGTTTGCGAATTAGTGGGGATTGGGATTTATCTAGACCAGATGAGGAGGGTTGGTGGGCGAAGTGTCTTGAGGTTTTTTGTGAGGAAGGTGGAAAAAGTTTCAGCAATATTTTTTTAATTCTTGACTTAGGAATAGTTCGATAGTGCCTAGTTCTATTTATTGTCATCTACATCTGTCTTTGAGCTTTTCACTTGTACCGTGTATCACCGCTCTCTCCACTTCAACATGGGCCATGCGTTTACGACCCCCCCCCTCCATCGCGGGCAAATACGACCCCCCTGTTGTGATGATCACAAAGATGGCGTGCCCTGCCTCAAGGAAAACATATAATACATAAGTACCCAGTGAAGCTTCCTTTGTAATGGTCCATACCAATAGATTCGAGAAATTGGTGAACTTCTAGCGAAGAATTTCCGCTGAAATAGATCTAAAAATGGAAATAAGATAACTAACTTCTCTAAAAAAGACCTACCGAATACTACACTTATCCACTTCGTCACGGTTGATAATGTTGATTATTTCGACAGAAGCACTTCTTTCATTCTTTTGAACATGCCCAATAGAAGGAAATTGAGGCAAAGTGCTGTCGGAGGTGACCACTGGAGTGTGGTCAATAGGTAATTCAGCATTCCTAAAAGCAGCTCTCTTTTCCTGATAGCATCTTTGACAGTTGTTCATCATTGAACCCACTCTTTGTCGGTATCCAAACATGTATCGCGAAGTCGGGTGGATTTTCTTCTCGACTGACACGGCCTACGACTCCAGTAATGAGACTTCTGCAAACTGTTTTTAGAGAAACGCGCATTGACGGACTATTTGATATTCAAAAAAAACCCCTTCCTATTAAACAGGGCTATAACTCACAATCGCCAGTCGGACTCGAGCTAGACCCACTCCATGAACATGTTGGGCAGTTTCATAGTTCAGAATACCATTTTTACTAGTGAAACATGCGCGAAAATGAAGTTGTAGAGTTCTGACAGCTGGATGTTCTTCATGTCTTCGCTTACTATTCGATGCATCATCCCATTCCTTCGCTACGAGCTGTGCACAGATATGCAACACGCTGCACGCCCAGCCACACGCCTTACCAAGATCACAACTGGATTTTAGAGAAACAAAAGCGCATAGACAGACTGTTCAACTTCAGATGACCTTTTTCATATTGAACCGAGCTATAACCGCAATCGCCAATGGGGTGGTGAGCTGAACCCTTTTCATGAACATGTTGAGCAGATCCGTAGTTGAGAATACCATTTTCGCTTGTGAAAAATGCGCAAAAATGAACTTGGAGAGTTCCGATGGCTTTTATTTTTCAAATACCTCGCCTAGCACTCAATCCATCACCCAAGTCATCCTACGCTACAGGCGTTCACAAATGCGCAACATGCCGCACGCCTAGCGGCACGCCTAACTATTACCACACTTCTGCTTTTGAAGAATTAGAAGCAAACTATTTGGCATCGAAAACCTTTTTCATATCGGACCCATAATTCACAGTCGCCAGTTGTATGATGAGCTAGACCCTCTCCCTCCGAGGGAAGTGTGGAATGCGGCCCTGGATTCTCGTGATCAACCATTATGAGAGCACTCGTCGACAGCCAACGCTGAGTACTCTAAATGGGTCTTTAAAGACAGCCTCCTCATGCTCGTCCTTCCTTGTGCAAGTAGTCCAGCCCCCAAGCTAGAGACTATCCCACTCTCGCGACTCCACAGTGAGCGAGGAGCGAGCTACAGCCGCTCAAAGTTCTAGTTCTAACGCCCGCCCAGTTGGACCGCCCACTTGCTAGATGCCCTCTGACGGAGAGCCGCTCAGTTGTTCTTTGTTGGGACGGCGGGCATTAATCGGAACTGCATGTACTTTTTGCTGACCGCGCTGCCCATAAATAATTCTGCTCTCCTTTATTACATTTTATTCATTAAAGGCACGTTCCGAGCGGATAAACTAGGCATAGGATCGCTTTAAACGTGCTGATATCAGCACGGCAAAAGTAGAGGACTATGCCTTGCTTTTAAAAGTTAAAATCGTAAGCAGAGAACACACGCTCATGTTTTTATCCCATTGGCGCCGATAGGCCCATGCCGGCCTCCAGTGACCGTGTCGTTGTGAGACTGCCATTGCGCTCTCTCGCTCGTCATTTTCTGGCCTCTCTCGTCTCTTATCAGTGTCTCTCCGCTTCGCATCCACAATTGGTCTTGACCACCTTACGCTCGTCGGTGATCATGATCAATTGAAATAAAGAGGGCCTTATTGTGGGCGCTTTTTCGTGATTCCTTCTCTTCAGTAAGTCAACAATACATCAGGAACATATTTCTATTTTGACGGTAATTACCTATGAACGGTGGTCTCCGAATTCCTTTAAGAGCATCATAGATAGTCAACTGCAACCCCATTTCGCAGGGTGAAAACGCGTAAAAATCACGAGTGATACAATTTTTGTGGTGCAAAAGCTCGACATGCACTAAAAGCCGCACACTGCACGTAACCCCAAATTCGGACGCCAAGTTTTTGAATTTCTTTTTTTAAGTGTTTTTCGTTCGTGTTTTTGTTGTTTTTCGTATTCTTTTCTTTGCACTGGATGATATCCACTACTGGGAGATGCGATAAAGCGATTTGTGAGCCAGGGGTTGCACAGAGACCGCAGGGCGGTGTGACTGTCAGGATGCGATTTTCTTATGGTGTTCTTGCGGGCTCTTGTTGCTTTTTTCCTTCTTTGACTAATTACTTAAGCTACTGTTTCATAATTGAACAGCAACTATCCTTGACACTATCGCGGGAGCTGTCTTTAATCACAATGACACGGTAGTTCAGTGATCCGGACGAGTTATACAACTTCATAAACGCGACAACACTATTTTCATTGTCAAACGCGATCCGATTCCACCTCGAGATCGTTTCCCTGCAGCACGCAAATATTGGCTGAAGCAAAGATGCAGACGTGTCGGACATGATAGAGCGCAAGCGGTTCGAGAAAGTATCCAGATGGTGTAACTCGTCGAAATAACTTTTTTCATGGAATTTTCGTTAATGACCCTCTGACCCAGCCAGCCCGAATCCGCAATTGTCCACAGGACACCCGTCCCCCGCTCAACGAGATAACGGCCTGCAAACTAGACTTGTGAAGAACGGGAATGGAGCGCACCCAGGGCCAACACGCAATAACTGGTGGAAACGACCGTCCTGGCTGCGTTCAAATTTGTACCCCCCCCTCTCCCCATAACACGCCCTCTCCTTTGCGCGGAATTCAAGACAAATCGGCGCTGGGACAAAATTCAACGAGAGAGAGCCACCACATCCACAAATAAAGATTATGACAAGCATCACAAATAAAGACAAGATTCTGTTCCGGCTACTGCAATACTACAGTACAGGTAAACAAAAGCATTACTATCTTCTCACCTTCTTTGCGCCTCTGTTTCTGGCGTTTTCCTTAACAGTAGCTCCCAAGTTGTCTTCGCATTCGCTTTTTTTGATTGGTTTTCTCCCTCTACGGCCACCACCTCTGCCTAGAATAAGACTTGCTGAAACAGAATAATCTCCAGAAAAAGACTGACAGGAATGCTTTATTTCAGCTTTCTGGCGTAGAGGCAACTGGTAGTGCAACTTCAATGAAATGACAAGTTGAATGATTTGGTACGGACCGTGTACGATGCTACTATAGTCAAGTTTTTCAGAACACCTTTCCAGTGATGTTAATTGCAAATCAGGGATTTATATACACATCCCGGATTACCTAATGACACACGTTCTTTGAGCAATGAAGTAAGGACCGCAAAGAGAGAAAATGTCCCACTTCTCGCGTTTCGAAAGCTCTCGATAAACGCTAGACGCTCGTGACGACGCTGGCGCTCCGCCCACTGCCTAACACCACACCCTACATTCGCTCGTAGAGATTCCTTGATAATGCGATTGTTCCGCTGCTACCCTTCCCATACCAAATGGCGAGAGTGACTCAAAAGGGAAGGGAACTGATATGATAGCGACAAGTGAAAAACTCGTCCAAACGAGTCATATTTACCGTATGCTTGTGCGATCTCGGATCGCTAGAAGCCTCAGGCTAGATCGCTTCGAACGGTTTTTCCTGCTTTTTTTTCTGTGGTACTAACTTCTTCATAACCTTGTCATTTAAGGTTGAACCTCACCACTCACGGTTTGTAATCGAGGAGGGCGCTTACAAAGGTCAACCGCCTGTGGTAGGCCTGAAAAAGGTAGGAACGCACGATTCTGAGCTCTTTATTCCTCAGTGATTGTTGCTTGAAACCTAAAGTACTCAGCTTTGCGTGTAAACAAATCCATCGATCCAGAACGTTCAAAAACTGCAAATGGAACAACTGCAGGTCTTTGCAGAGCTTATTTTCAGAGATCTACAGACGTGATGATACAGCAAACTACACAATTTCGGATCCACGTACTATCGCTCTACTCGTCTGAAGTACCCCATTTCCTCAGAGCAGCTCGGCGTTTCTGGTACGCAGTTACGTGTTTCTTTCTTATATAATGCATACAGAGAAACGCTTCGTACCAGCCGCTTGGGACTGGCGCTAATCGCGGAATTGGAGTGGCACGGCCTCAAAGGCATGTTGCACTTTAAAGGTACGAAATAAACCCAGCAGGATATTTCGGCGTCCCTGAGCAGGAGCTGTGTGGCACCTTTTCTAAATAGGTACCCTTGAAGCGCCCTATCGAGTTGCGATATACCGAACCGGACGCCCACCGCGCCCGCCCACAATTTTCCGACTAATGCTGATGCTCGTATCGCTTCATTTGCGAAGTACAACATGAAGCGAAGGGACCGATATGAAGCGGCTGCGGTGCTGCACGGATATATGAGCATACATGCAGCTGCATCAGCCGTAGCGCTTATTGGCACGATGTCAACGGGAAACTCGTCCGAAATTGAACCGCGTAGAACTGAGGCTCTTTTTGCAAGTTCCTGATCGTTTCACTTCGCTTTTTCGCTGTTTCCCCACTGTGTAGTACCCCTGCTGCCATCTTACTTTTTTAGATATCTGTGTGTCGAGTGATAAAGGGATGAATATTGTAGAGTTACTAGAGTAGCACTAAAATGACAACAACGCAGCAGTACTAGAAGATAGATTGCGTTAGTCGCTATAAGATGAGGAACCTTCAACGTTATGAACAGCCAAGATCAAGCGGTGATGGTCTAATGGGGAAGTCAGCGCTACTAACCTTCTGGTTTAGTGGGGCCCTGAAGTAATTTGTTGCAACACGTGGGTTTTCATGTACATGAAATGTAAACTAATCATTCAACTACATCGGAGTCTGCGGCAGTAGCGCAGTTAGCACCACCAACCGGATGTTGAGGAAAGGAAGCATGAAACCCTAGGAGATAGATACATACCACTTCCGGATTTTTTCGAACTACTCGGCGTTGCCTGCGTTTTCTTGTTCAGCGTTTCTGTGCCGGATAGTCTGCGTGAGGCCTGAAACAAGTATCCGAAGTACCCAACAAAGATACTCTTTGGATAAAATGGTACCTGATTCCGCATCCGTGACCCAACCTCTTTTTCTGCATCCAAAGGTGAGCATAAATGATTCGAATGGGGATTTGTAATGAATACGTCCGCATTCACCTTAAAGGCAGTTGGCACGATAAATCGCTATACAGGTGTAGGATTTGTACAACTGGCTTAACAGAATTCCGTGACCTCGGACAGGCGCTGCGTGAAGCCTTTTCCAAGGAGGGTACCTCTATAACGCCCTGAGCAACAACTTTACGTCCCAAACGCCTTCCTTGCCCGCCCGCCCACAAACGGACGACCGTTTCTGACGCTCGTATTCATTCATTTGCTGAGCAAATTATGAAGCAAAGGGATTGGTATGAAGCGGCGGTGATGCTGCATGCATATATGGGTACACATATGCATTCGTAGCGGTGATTGGCAGGATTTGCGTACTGAGAACGGAGGCTTTTTCTTCGCAGGATTTTGACCGTTTCACTCCGTTCTTTCGCCATTTCCCCACTACAGCGCCCTACTAGCATTTTAGGCTAAGTAGGAAACCATCGTGCCAACTGCCTTCAAAATAAGACTGATAAATTATGGAATTCTTCTCAACAAAGTGTCTTTGTGGGAAATAGTCATTGGAACAGCTACTTTATCAATTAAAGCTGAGTTAGCATTGCTTTGCCCGTCGTTAATCTACCCTCTACTTCTCAATACTCTACTCCTGGACGTTGTCTTCCTAGATCGATACCTATCCTTTT